TCAGGGGTAGGTAGAGTGGGGGAAACAAGTGGTATTAACTGCCTGGGTTCCAGCAGCAAGCTGAAACAGCAGTTCTCACAGCCACAGAGATGAATACCAGCTGGTTTATGCAGCTGGCTTTGTGTGCATGTAACCAGTGGGAGTTACAGATGCTCAGACACCTTGCAGTAGACACATTGCACAAGCAAACAGATGGGGGTTCCGGTATTGAAAATACAGTTTTCAACAATTAGAGAACATTGCCTTAATGTTACACCATGGAGTAAAAGGATGTGTTTGTCCTCTGGGAAGAGCTGTATCTCACCCTCCTGAATCACTTTGTACCTAAACTATGGCATGAAACACCCAGCATTTGATGCATTTTCTGATGGCAGTGAAGTATAGCCATTAAATTACAAAAATCTGACTGAATCCAGTTTTTTTTTGTTCCTATAGTAAGATTGAGAGCATGGAAGAGAGTTCTAGTCTTGTGCTTTAGTATTTGGTATTCAGACAAGAAGCCATTTTTGTTTCCACCCCCTCCCACCCCCTCATAGAAAGGATCATTTGGCTTTGACAACAGAATCTTTCCCTCTCAGCCATACTGCTTTTCTTCTTAATGTTGATAATAGGACAGAGTTCCTACACTGAGCCTGTCTCCCTGAATCTCCAAAATTCAAGGTCCAGAGGAACTCACGATTTGCTGACAATATTTAGTTCAGTCTGGGACTGTGGCTCTTAGTTCATTGATTTGTTCTCCATTAGCACTAGGGGCACGTTAATCATAAGCAGAGAAAACAAGCCAAAAAAAGAACAAGGGAATTTGTTGTGAGTGGAGCAGGGGGAAGAGTGCAATAGAGAAAGGGATGTGGTTTGTGACACCCGAAATAAACACTGCTGACAGAAATGATGTTTTGTTGTGCAGTTGACCACTGAAAGTGCTCTATAACCATGCACTGACAGAAGTTCATGGCTGCAGAAGGCTTTAAAAAGTGCCTAGTCATGTGACAAATGAACCCTGGTAAGAGTTCAGATGAAGGCACTCCAAACTGGAGCACCTTCATTAACATTTTTAGTGCACATCGGGAGCAAGGCTGGGTTGAAGCAGCCCAGCCCCATCCCTGGTGCTGTCTCAGGATGGGAGAGGGGGAAGGAGTTCCAGCTGGGATTTGTCCAGCCTGTGCTGGAGGGGGGGAGGGGCAGGTGGATTGGAGCCTCCCCTCCACGCCCAGAATGGACCTTCTTCCCCTGTCTTCTCCCCCTCCCATCATGAGACATCACCAGAGCTAGGATGAAAAGGGTAGCATTAGGGGAAGAGGCTGCAAACGGTTGGATCGGGAGGGTCAATCTAACTCATGGCCTTTCTGTGAAGTGCCATGAGTTAGACCAGGGAGCTGCATAAAGCTGGGCTCGGCTGGGCTGGTTGGCCTGGCTTCTACAGTGATGCTGTGCAGTAGCTCAGTAGCATCCATGCAGTTTGAAGATGCTTGAAACCACTTGTCTGACTTTCACCAGCCAAGAATTTTAGACTATTTCTGAGAGCCTAGGGGGGAGGGATAAACATCTGGAATCAGACCTGTCTCTCAGATAACATGGATTCTAATAAATAATTAGAATTTTAAATGGTGGGGTATTTTGATAGTGTAAGAGTAATGTTGTACCTATGATGGTCCAGAAAATATGCGAGGCAAGGATTTCTTAGAGTGTTATCTTTTATTGGACCAGCTAGGTAGCTGGGATAAAGTTAGACAAGCTTTCAAATGCAAGACATTACTTGTCAGAACTGTTTTGAAGCATGCACATATGTGAACTTGATATACTTGTTTATATTCATGTTGTGGGGAAAATGCCACCGTTAATAAATACAAGTATTTTGAAGCAGAGCTGTGACCTGTGAGCATTCTCTGTGCCTCAGCTTAGCTCTGAATAACCAGAGGAGAGATGTATAGAAGGTTGAAAAGGGAACGGGTTCAGTGCAAAGATATGTAGTTGGTTTTGACAGCCCCATGGCAAGGCTGAGAAGTCAGGTTTTTCCAGTTTTAAGAACTAAAAGAAAGCTACTGTATTTGTCAGCATAAGACAATTTAGCTTTCCACCCATAACAAATTAAGTTTACTGTTACTGTGGCAGCTCACATAAGCAAATCCCTTCCATTTCAGATCCTTTACAGCCCTTTTAGTCATGATAATTTAAGTCTGTAATAAGATTAGGTCAGAATTACAGGCTCAACAGCAGCCACCTAATCCTCCATGCTGCTGGCTGTTAAGCAGTACTTGAGTCATAAAACTGTTCCCTGGCTCCTTGAAATAGGGATCTTCAGTATGTCTGTTGTGACTCAACAGGAAAAGGATCATTTTATTATCATCATTTTCATCTAGGAAAGTGTACAGAATAAAAACTTTTTAATGCATGTCAAAAGACTGGGTTTGATGGCTGTCCTTGCTTCAAACAGCACGTAGTCTTAGAGACACTAAGGTTCTAGGGGCGCTTGTACACGTGATGGGGGCTTATTCCTCAGAGTTTTATTCTATGCCCCTAAATTGAAATGGTGGGGCATAGAATAAAACCCTGAGGTCTAAACAGTTTAAATTTTTCTGTCATGTTATGGTGAGGGGCCTGATCCTTTTTTTTTTTTTTAAATCAGACTTGGAGACTGTCTGTGTGCGGCCAGGGGGGCCAGCTGCTGGGGAGGCCAAGTGACCCCTGAATTGTGGGGGCTCCTGTTCCTTC